TCTTTCACCCTTTACCTGCTAAAAGGCCTATAAATTGAAATTTAATATAAATATACCTAAGAAAGTAGGTACAGGAAGGGCTACAGATCAGATGGACATCCAGTTATCTGTTTTGAGCAGATATTTGAAAATGAAAATGAGATAAAATGAGATGCCATAAAAGGCAAAGTTTACTAACTTGGTACTAAAGTATGCTGCAAACTCTACTGAAACCACAGGTGCTCAACAAAAGAAAACCATGCTGCATAGCAATTTAGAAACTTGATATTCTTCTCAACTGAAGCCACATAGAAATCACATGGAAAAACAAAGTTTAAAATTTGGCCAAAATAACATGCACGCTGTTATGAAGGGTATGTTAGCGTCTCTGCGAGCTAACACACTGCATCCTGCACTGCCTTTTTCAAGAGATGCCAAGTCCACCAAATCCAGACACCAGCGGCATTGTAAGGCTGACACTGCAAGAAATGCTTCAGCTGGTCACTATTTCCAAAACTGTCTAAGTTCTACCAACATCCCCTAATCTTGAAGAAAAGATGAAGTATTTTGAAATTGGCTGGAGGAATGCTTTTTGTACTACAAGAGCTCTGATCCTATAAAGATAGGCTTGTGAATGTGCTTAAAGCATGGTGTCTGCAATACATGGCCCCAGCCAGGCCAACAATAGATTGGAGGCTCAGGTCGGAAAACATGATGGAGGGGGCATCAAACCCAAGCATGAGAAGGAGAAACTGCTTCAGGACACAGTGGCAGAGGTCATGGACTACCTGATTCATGTTATGTTTAAATCTGGGAGAGATTTATTCCTCTCAGATGTTATCCCTCATTTCAGCAGTCATCCCACCATGTTTCCATGATGGCATCTGTAATAGTTTTCCACAGCTGCACAGTGACTTCCAGCTCCTCCTGTTTGTTGTGTATGCTGTGTGCATTGGTATGCATGCACTTCAGTTGGGCTATGGATCCCACCACCTTTTTATGGGGAGCTCTAATTCCTATATGACCATTCTCAGGCACTTCTGTGGTTTCTGACACATCAATAACCCTTGTGTTTTTGATGCCAGGTGGATCTCCATCCCCTACCTCCACTGGGACAGCAGTCCAAAGGACCTCGCTAGCATGTTGTCCCTCAAACATCTGTGTGGTGCCCCCAGGCTTATCTCTAGTGAGCCTGTTTTTATCCCTTTCCCCCTTTAAATCTAGTTTAAAGCTATTTCCATGAGCCCTGCAAACTCCTGTGCAAAGATCCTGTCCCCCCTTTGAGACAAGGAAGGTGTACCCCATCCTTCACCATCACCAGCAGGCCTGGTGTCATGCAAATTGACCCATGATCAAAAACCCCCAAATTCTGCCAGTGACACCAGGCTTGGAGCCAGGTATTGATCTGATGGCTCTTCTTGTTTCTTCCATCATCATTCCCTGCAACTGGAGGCATAGAAGAAAACACTACTTGTGCTCCTGATTCTTTAACCTGTTGTCCCAAGGCCACAAAGTCTTCTTGATTGCCCTCAGACTTCTTGTTGCAAGTCTTCATTGCTACCTACCTGAAAAATCTGATAATAATCTGAGGGCTGTCCCAAGGTAGGAAGCTTCCTCATCTCTCACCTTTAACCTGGGTCGCAGGGAGACAGCAGGCTTTCCAAAGAAGTGGATCAGTCTGAATTTTGGGCCTTCTGTTCTCCTCAGAAGGGAGTCTCCTATGACAATGACCTATCTTTTCTTTATGGGAGCAGGGTGTAGGCTGGCTTAACCTCGGTGACACCTCCACCCTAGATGAACCATTGTCCTCCTTGTTTTTCAGTTCCACTGGCAGAGCCTCATACCTATTGTGCAAGGGCACCTGGGAAGGTGGGGCAGTGACAGAGGAGATTCGCCTGATGCGCTGGGCAGGAACTTGTCACCACTGCCCCCTATCCCTTATGCCACTGTGCACAACCAGGCAGAGAAAAGACAGGGAACCCTCTGTATCGCATCCTGTGTGGCTGCTGGGACTGTCTCAGGGAAGGTAGAGTGTGATTCCAGTAGTCTCCCTGTCTCGTTCTCCCTAATAGTCCTCAACCTACTCACCTCCTCCTGCAGCTGTAAGGAGGAGTCACCACATGAAGTAGTTCCTGTACCTGTCACACCTCCTTATAGTTGTGCTCACTCCTGCCATCTGATAGCTCCATAGAGCACACACTGCAGCCAGGAACCTCCAGTTCCCACCAGAGCTCTGCCCAAGCAGCTGTGTTAGCTGTGGTGGGTGCAGAGCTCAGAGGTCATAGCTTTCTGCCAGGTTGATACCACTGCTCCCTGGTAGAGCTGGCAGGGCTTCCGCTGCCACCCAAACTGCTGCACCACACCTTTGCTGATGTGCCATGCCCTGTTTGCCCACCCTGTGGGTAGTGCTTCTGGTTGCTGGTGCTCCCAGTTGCTGGTGCTCCCTATGGGCTTTTTCTATATGTTTGGGGGGGGGGAGGGGCTGGCCACCATTGCCCTTGGCCCTGCCCAGGTTTCTAAGGCAAGCTCTTATAACTTTATAAGTCTAAGCTTTACTCACAGTCATTTGACTCTCAAAGTTCAGGCTCTAATATACTCCTTACAAGATTAATGAGCAGCTCTTTGTGAGTAAGTCTTTACAATTCTAGCAGTAACAGTACGGTTGAGTCATGGGTTTTCAGATCCCAAAGTGCCAGGATTTGAAGCATCATTTACAAAGGGGTAATTCCACCTGTGGTGAAATGGGGACTGGAAGCTCCTGACCATACCCACAGAGATTCCCATCAGCTGGAATGCGATAACATTATGGAGTGCCTCAAGTTACGAGCAAGCCTGTTAGTAAGCAACACTTGTCCTGTTTTGTTGCTGCATTATATGCTCACTAGTCAACTTGTTCTCAGAAAACAAGAATGGTACTGACCTCTGTGATGGTGCTACGGTGAGGAAATTCAGAGAAAACAGGACAAGACACAGGACAAGAATTGGTGTGTTTATAAAGGATCTCTTCAAATGTATGCAGCATACATCAACACAGAATAAACCTTACGTTTGCTTAATCATTTAAAAGCAACAAAATCAGTACATATCATATGCTACCACTGTTTTACAAAAACAAATCATTACATTGTATCCACAGCCTCTTTAACATCAGTTGATCATAAAGGTCAGAAAAGTAGTCACTGTTAAAAAAAGTGGAAATTTCCAAAGGTAAAAAGCAGAAATAACCCTAACAAGCCCAAGAAAACCAATCCAAAACCAACAGAAACAGCAAGCAAGAGAGAAACCTTTGTTTGCAGTGATTTGCAGATAGAAACGTTTTTCTTTAGTCCATATTCAGATCTGTTTTGTTAGTCTTCAGGTACCACAACCGGATTCAAGGAACTGCTGAGCAATTCAATAAAACCCACTAGACTGTAGCCAAAAATAGCTGCAACTGCTCCTCCCTCAATTTAAAAGGGGAAATCACATCTCCTCACCTCCAGGGATGTCATTTACTCATCACTCTCAGAGCTTGCACAGTTATGGCAACCAAGAGGCAGCACAAGGGATCCAAACAGCCAATAGAAAAGTAGTTTCAAGTACACTGTCTCAAAACTGGTAAGTTCTCTATTTTCTCCCACTTCTTCTTTTTCATATATTGTCAAACCACTTCTTGGTTGAATCCTTAACTCCTATGCCTTTTATGTGAAAAGCAGGCAGATTCAAAAGAGCATTTGAAGGAACAGCTTGAAGAAAAAAAATAAAACACCTGCATATCATACTGACTTGTACTGTAAATTCAGCAGAGGACAGGACAACAAACAGACACAAAATTATAGATGTGGAATGTCTTAGTTTTATTTCTATTCCTTAAAAGAATTATAAGAAAAAGAAAGTAGTGCAACTTCTCTGTAACTTAGGCTTAACAAAGAAGAAATGTTTCTGCAGCACTTCAGAAATCATTCTGGCCTACAAGAAAACACTTCTCTTCTGTAACATCAGTGGCAACATGTCCCTTAGACCAGCTTTCCATAGGTTTCTTAATTTCATTTTTAATTCAATTTTTAACTAGCTTGTCTGGAGAACTTTTTACAAAATAAAATAAAAATATCTGCAGATTGTGGAAAGCACATTTTTCACTTATGTATAAACAAAACCAGTGAAATTTTGAAGCTTTTATAAGCAATATTCAGGCGCTGTACATGGTACTACAAACTGAACTTTATGGTGTTTACAGAATTCAGCTTTAATCACTGCAGCAACTTAGAAGGGTAAATGTTACCTCATATAACCAACAAGTGTAAGGAAAATTAATCTTTCACATATATTATTTTTGAGGTTTTTTCCCCGTCCTTCTCCTTTAGCCCCTGCTGTAGTTTCAAAACAGAAGTCCCTGACTTACAGAAAGGTGGGTTTAGGTAAAAAAAAAAAAAAAAAAAAAAAAATTAGGAAATTTAGGGAAATAATGTCTTGGGGCATCTACCAAGCAAGAAGAAACAAGACACTTGAAAATGCCTCACATTCCTAGGGAGAAATGAAACACAGATTATCACAATGAGGAACTCTGAGAATGTGTACTAAAATCACAGCACTAATACGGCATACTCATTATGTCAATATATACAATTAAACCAACTCAAGAGTTCTGTATGTAGCCCTAAGGTTCTGCCACTGGTTTCACTGAGGTTTCAACAAGGGCTTAAATAATAACACACACTCAAAAAGGTAAAGAAAATAAAAATTAAAAAAATGCAAAACACCATCTATGACTGTTCTGAAGCAGCAACATTATTTACATGGATGCATTTAAGGACGTAACTGATTTTTAATAACAAAAAAACAACCCAACAAACCAAACCCAAAATTACACATAGTTGACTTCGTACTTTCATTGAGTAATAGTAGGGAAAGCATATGGAATGTTATCAGTGCAAAATACATTGTTTTGTACGTTTCAAATGAAACGCAAGCAGTGGTGACTGGTAAGTAATGTGAGCTTGAACATTAAACACAGGAGAGTGCCACAATTCATCACGGAGTAACCTCTCATTAGTCAAGTGGTGCAGACAAATGAAAACCATAATACCAACAATTATACAGTTTTTCTTGTCACTGAAATGTCACTTATGCTTCCAGAGGTATGAGAAAATGCATTCATCCAGTTCCACAAACTGCTGCTAGTTGCTTCAGTACACCTTTAACAGTCATAGCAAATTTATTCTTAAAATGAAGGTAGAAAAATTGCACAGGAAATACTAACAAATAATTGATGACAAAATTGTTTAGTAGAAGTTATTACTAAACAGGAACCACCAGTTCAAGTTTCAATAAAGCTTACATTTAGTCTCAGTTTCAGCCTGAATGGCCCCATATTATTCTAAAATTATCCATTTTAGGCCTTCTAATATATAAAGTTAGCATATACCCAGTTCTGTTACCTGTGAAAGAGCAGGCCTCGGCACAGTCAGATGGCCACTCCAAAGTGCCTAATCACACTGAGCAGCAAGTTTTGTAGACAAAGTATGCTTAATAAAATCACATAAACAAGCACGCTGGTAATTAAGCTACTGGCATGGCAGACAAATGGCAGCAGACCACCGCATAAGAAATTAAGGCTAACGAGCTGTATTAAAAGTTCTCCTTCTGATTAAATAATAAAAATTCTCCTCTGAGTAAATAATAGGAATCAATTTCTGTATTCCAACAATTATCAATACAAACACTGTTCCAAATGTGAGCTACAAGCAGGATTTGTGTATTTCATGTCATCCATTTTTTCCCTCCAAAAAGGTTAAAAATCCATAAAAAAAGTCCCAGCCAGTACAATACAGCAACACCTGTCCTCCTCACAAGTGTTGTAGTGGTACCAGTTAGAATAACATTTGTCTAGATTTAACATTCCTGCAGCAGAAATATTTGTAAGCACTTGCCTTCACATGAACATAATGTGCCCTCTTAAAAGATCCTGTTACTACTGTACAAGTCTGGCAAGTGTTAAGCACCACCTCAGGTTGATTCACTTTGCCTCCCCTTTGAGGTACATCTATGCAATCCAAATTTGCAACTACTGATTTTTTAACTTCACATTTCCATGGCTACAGTATTTTTGTTTGTTTGCATTCATTATCAAAATAGCTGCTAAAGCTAGTCCAACCCCTAGACTTGGAGGGCCACAGGGACTGAACTCTTGAGCAATTCCAGAAAGGAGTGGGGCAAGTATACGTCCCACTGATGTCACCGACTGTCCAACACCTAGGAGCGTGCCACTGGCCTCATTCCCACCAATGGTCAACTCAAGATCAATGATACAAGTACGACCTATAGTAGTTGAAAAGGCTAAGAATGTGGAAGACAAAATTACCATCCATATGCTCTGTGCTGAAGCATACAGGAGAACCAACGTGCAGGTAAGAGTGCTAGAGTGCAACAAAATTCTGTATGTGTTGTGCTGATAGAGTCTTGTTATTGGTCCAAGCAGACAACCAGCCAGGACTCCAAGTGCACTGCTATAGCTCATTAGGTATCCAGCGAACAACGGTTTCAGCCCAAATCTCTCCTCCAAGGCCAGGCTAAAATTACTGTAGTACAGCAGTATAGCAACAGACATCAGGAACCGCACTAAAAATATATCCCACAGATCAGAGCACGCAACTCCTTTAATCCTCTTCAGCACTGTTGTAACTTGGATCCATGGAGACTGGAAAAGACTGTTGCTTGCCATAGCTCCATTAGTTGCTGATTTCAAGTGCAGGTCATGATTTGCTTTTGCTGAGAAGCTGTCTGTTCCTTTTTTTCCTTGTTGACATTCCCTATTGCCAGTGTTTTCTTCACTCCAGGGTAACATCCAGACAAGACCTATACAGATCAAGAAATTAGCTGATTCTATTCAATTGCATTAATTTTACTTGGAAGACATTAGCTTGATTGTAACCATGTACTTAGTGTAAAGATCAAAGTTTAAAAATGACTTAACAGTCATTTCATTTTAAAAATTTTCAAAGATTAAGTCTAGTGCTATTCACAGTATCAGTTCAATTTTAAATGCAGGGCAAGCAAGGAAGAAGAACACCGAGATACCACACTCACAACATATACACAGATCTAAAGGCTAAAGCTGATTTCTGGTCTTCCTGTATCTGAATGTAAAAGTGATACAAAGGAGAAGCACCTGGAGGTTAACTGTTTCAAAACTGCCACCCTTCCGCATAGGTTCAAATTCAAAGGGTAATACTGATAGACAGAACATGTATGCCATATATGATAAACACACTACGAATACAAGGTATTAGAAATAGTGTAAAAACACAGAAGCAAGGAATGAAGGCACCCAAGATGCAAAATATGGCATACAACTTACCAGCATTCAGAAGGAAGATAAAGGCACAGAGGAAGGATGTTTGATAAAAGCCATCTTTCAGCTCTGTAAGGTAGCCACCAACAACAGGCCCCAGAATGAAGCCCACACTGGAGGCTGCATTGAAGCGTCCCATCACTAAAGGACGGTCTCGCTCAGAAACCAAGTCAGAAAGGAGGGCTTTAGAGATTGACAGCGTGTGTTTGAAGATACCTGCAATGTAATATAAACAAAATAAACATATATTGCTTAGTCCAAAAGATTAAAAATGACAGAAGCTATCTGAAATATCAGTGGTCAAAATCTACATGATTGGTATTTTTAAGACTCCATTAACCATAAATTCTTCAATGCTAGAGTCCTGCAGCTGCCATCCTGGCTGTTCAAGGATTCGACTTAGGTAATTTTGATCAAAGCAACCAGTTCATGCCTCCGCTCAAAGTTATGCTCCTACAGCCCTGCCGAAAGAAGTAACTAAGATGAGTGTTGAAGCACGCTAGGAATAAAATAGCCACTACAATAGCAACTTGTGGATGGTTAACGGTGAGGTAGGAACAGCTTGCCTGAATATGAACATAGCTCTGTACCAACTTTACTGAGTATGAAGATTTCCAGGACTGTAACACACCAATTTCTATGAGAAACTAGTGGGTGGCAGAAGAAGGGCACAGAAGGGTAAGCAGACTGCAGGAATATTAATAATGCCATCTTTTACATTCCTTCCCTCTGACCAGGGCAATGCTGCCACAGTGCTACTAGGATTTAGAGGTATTATTTCTACTAAGCAGTCAAATATCAATTAAATAATTCATTAGCAAATTGTCTTTAAATATTAACAGCTCCTGAATCAAAACTATGGGCCATAAAAGTGGCCTTTGGTAGATGTGTTCAAAGTAATAGCAATGCTTATTATGTCAGAATATAGGCAATAGGCGTTTGGTTAAGAACTCTGAAATGAACCCTGGCACAAACTTAGCTTCAGCGCTGCAAACATACACACTTTTGCAGAACATAAATATTCTGTTGAAGCAGTGACATAAAATTTCAGCCAAATATTGTAGTGTCACTTTGAGGTACATTTTCAGCAAGAGAAAAAACAGTAAGACATACAATTCTATTCTCTACTGCAAATGCAGGCCAAGATTTCCAGCAATTACCTGGTATGCTGTGTACCTGTTATAACTAAACTTACAATAGCCTCTTTCAAAGTACTGCTATACTCCTCATATAATTCAGCAATTCAAGGTGGCATAAAAGTTGTGACAGTTGCTGAATATACAATTGTCCTGGTTTCAGTTGGATAGAGTTCATTTTCTTCCTAGTAGCTGGTACAGTGCTGTATTTTGGATCTACAATGAGAATAATGTCGATGACACATTGAAGTTTTAGTTTACACTAAGTAAAGGACTCTTCAGCTTTTCACCCCACCTTGAGTGCCCCTCAGTGAATAGGCTGAGGAGCACACAAGAAGTTAGGAGGGAGCACAGCAAGGACAGCCGACCCCAACTGCCCAAAGGGATATTCCATAACATGTGGTGTCATGCTCAGGACATAAAGTAGGAAGAAAGCTGGCTAGGGACCACTGCTCATGAACTGGTTGGGCATCAGTCAGCTGGTTGTGAGCAATTGCATTGTGCATTACTTATTTTGTATATTATTTTCCTTCCTTTTCAGTCCTATTAAACTGTCTTTATCTCAACCCACAAATTTTACATTCTCCCTCCTCCCCCGCCCCCTCTCCCCCGCCTGATTTTCTCCCTTATCCCACTGTGTGTGTGAGTGGTTGAGTGGTGTTTTTAGCTGCCTGCTGGGTTAAACCACAACAACATTTCAACTTACTTTCAGGAAAATGTCATGAGAATACTTGATTTGTGGAGATTTTTCAGTTACTAAGGTTCAGGTGGTACAGCTGGGTGATGATGCTATGTAGCCTTCTACATACCATGTTTTCCCTAGCAGTAATTCTCAAGCTGCAACTGTGGGGAATTTAAACTCCAAAATCCCAAGTGTTTACTCACCTACAGGAACCCTAGAAATAGCAAACAGGAACACAGTGGTGGATGCGCCAAGAAGGAAGTAACCCAGTGCACTGAGAAGAATACAAGCAAGCAGGGAATACCGTCTTCCTACTATATCACTCCAGCAGCCCTTTCACAAATCAGGAAATTAAGATTAGCTTTTTAAAACACTTAACTATGTACGGTGAACAACCAATACTTCTAAATTAAACTGACAAAAGAGATGAAAGGACTGTCAGTGAAAGCTTAATAAGCTTATTACACAACATTCCCAAGAGCTTAAATTCCTGAAGTCACAAGCAGAGTTCTGTCCTGCCACCAGTGCACCTGCTGAAACTGTGATTCCATTTAAAGTCATGCACAGAGCTTTTTAAAAAATAATTTTCCTCTTTTAAAAGTACAATCCTGCAATATACATTGCGAAATATTAGTAGTAAGGACAATCTGAAAATGTTATTACAACCAACCACTAATATTTGTTTGCATTACTGGTTGCAATGTATTAGATACTTGTTAAGCATCCTAAAAAGAATGATCTTAGCCAGGAGGAGTTTGTCATCTGAGTGCAGACAGGGAGCAGTTATGAGAAGGGCAAACAGTAAACTTGCATTTAGCATTCTTATAAATCATCTTGATACCAAAAAGGAAACAGGGTTTTTGAGAAAGTAGGCAATGGTCTTGCAGTTCAAAAGAAAATGCCTTAAGATCATAGAAGCAAATTATTCCAGGTGGCATACCAAACAGCTTTTTCATGAGGTGCTCAAAATCTCCTCTCTTAAAAAGGCTAGGAGGTATTAGGGTAATATTAAAGGTGCTCCTGGCTAAGAAGGGATCTAAGGGATTGATAGGTAAAGCGTGCATTCAGGAGGTTTAGTCTCTGCACTCTTGCTTAGATTAGGATGTGAAAAATCAACAGCTAACAGAAAACAAAACCAAACAAAGCTCAAAGATGTAATACATTAATTTGAATGACAAATTACAAAGTACTGCTCATTAAGCAGGGAAAGCAAACTCTAGGTAATGACCTTATGAAGAGCTGACTTGTGAGACTGCTTTTTGGACAGGCTACCACACTGAAGGAAACTTCAGCCTTACTAGCACCAACACTGAAGAAGAACCCTGTGTGACTGCAACATACTCTGTAACGTATCTGAGACCAAATCTGGATTCTAGGTTTTGAACAAAGACCGTATTCTGTTTAGTTCTAAAACATCTGGCAATTTCCTAGAAATGAAACAAACATGTTCCATGCAAACTAAAACCCAGATCCTTCAAGCAAAAATGTATGAACACTATAAATGCTTTCAAAACATCAAGAAATGCTATTACTAACCCCACCCCATTTCCCTTTAAAATCCATAGAAATACCAACATGTTCAGAAATGCAGTGTTAGAACTCACCACAAACGTGCTGGAAAACAGTTGCATTATACCATACAGAGATCCTAAAACAATCAAGCAAAATACCAATGTTAAAAATTTAACTTCATTTTTTTAAGAAAATAAAAACCACACAAAATTTTAAATGAGGCAACATGAAAGACATTCTGGAAATAATTTACTAAAATAATAGGAAGAGGGAGCAGGACAAATCAAGGGTAGAATTTAGCACATAACCAAGGACTCTCACAGTTTAAGCTCAGATGGTAACTCAGAACCTTTCTGGGTAAGAGTCTGAGAGACCTGAGCATGACACGAGAATGACATGGTGGTTGCTTCCACCACTGTAAGCACATGGGACTTGCCTTGGCAGGTCGGTGGGAGTGTGATACAGTCAATCTGCCCAGCCTCCCCATATTTGTACTTCAGCCATTATCCTCCACACCAGAAAGGCTTTAACTGCTTGGCTTGCTTAATTACAGGACATTTCACACCCATGAATGACCTGGACCATACTGTCCATTAAGTCCACCCCTTGATCAGGAGCCCTATCTATATGTTACATCTCTGCCTTGATGCCCTGAAGTGTTATGGGCCCACCATGGGCTAAAAATAATTCACCCTTATGTTGCCGATCTAAATTCATTTGAGCCACTTTAATCTTAGCAGTGTTATCCACCTGTTGGTTGTTCTGATGTTCTTCAGTGGCCCAGCTCTTCGGTACATGAGCATCTTTGTGGCATACCTTCACCACCAGGTTCTCCATCCAGGCAGTGATATCTTGCCACAGTGCAGCAGCCCAGATGGGTTTACCTCTGCGTTGCCAGTTACACTGGTTCCATTGCTGTAGTCACCTCCATAGGTTATTTGCTACCATACATGAGTCAGTATAAAGCACTGGCCGTTTTTCTTGTTCAACAAAGTGTAAGCCCAACTGGATGGCTTTCACCTCTGCAAAATGACTTGACATACCTTCTCCTTCAGCAGTTTCTGCACTTGTCACTGGGGACACCATACAGCTACTTTCCATCTCTGCTGCTTTCTCACAATATGGCAAGACCCATCAGTAAACAAGGCATACTGTTTCTCACATCTCTGATTAACTGCTGCTTAAAATAATACTCAACTCAGCATAGAATCCGAATTATTCATAAAAAGTGCTAAGTTTTATCCAAAATAAAAAAGGATGGTAATAAAAAGCTGAATAACAGAGCCCATGTCAACCACATAGCTATAAAAAAATGTATCATTACAAACAATCAACAGAGCCATAAAATATAAACAAGAACTTCAAACCACAAAACTTATCAGTTATTTTTTAAGATAAAATCCCAAACTTTCAGAATTTACTTGTAAACACTTGTAAAGACATTAAATATTTTGCCAAAAGACAGCTGTAAGAAATTTAAGCAAACAGGGAGCAATCATGGGCTTCGTAAAGCTCAGGAGAACCAGCTACAGAAGTACTGTTTGCAAAGCCTGTAAATAACAATAAAATTAAAAACAACATCTCTGGCTCCCAAAGTTGCTGAGCTGTGAATTCTTGGATGCTGAAAAAGCACCTACACAAGTACCACTGCAAGACTTGCTTGTTCTTTCCAAGAGAGCTCTTTCCCAAGCACTGTCAGCATGCAAGTTTGGACAGGTCTTTGCATCCAACAAAGTATGGTGGTTTTATTGGGAAATTAGCCTTATTTTGTATTACGCTACTAGCAAGGAAGAATTATATGACAACTTCCAATTTGCAGGAAGGCATAATTCAGGTCACATTATCTTATTCTTCAGTAAATCAGCCAAGTACTGCAACTCACCTATTATACCACCAACTGTATGACTTGCTCCTAGAGATTTGATATGAAGGTTCATCAAAGGAACAACCATGCTCACACCAAATAAATCCTGAAAAGAAGGCAGGAAAAGTTTTAATAACTGATCACATTTACAAAGATGATGGCAACCTGGCTTAGTAACAGTCGATATTAAAAAAGTTCCATAGCAGTAGACGATAAAAAGAATTATTTTCATGGCCAATGTGGTATGTTCTAACCTTTAAAATGCATTCAGTATGTACAAAATTACAAAAACACATAAACTTAAAGGAGTTAAAACTATGGAAACAGCAATCTTCTTTCACCTGTCAGATATAGTAATTTTTAAGATATATATTTAAATATTCCTTGAATATATACTAAACTTTATCTGTTTCACAATAAAAGTACTTGGTACCAGTATTTTAAATTCAAAGTGGTTTGTAATTTCAACTGCCTAGAAATAGTTTTTATTTGGGCAAAGACAGTATACTTGTAAAATCTACAGTATTTTAGCTCTCATCCACAATGTGATGAAGCTATGGTAGACCTAAACCTACCTACTGACTGTCTTTGTGTATAAGTTAAGGAATGTACTAAAAAGACAGAAACATGGAGGTGGGGAAGGAAAGCTTAAGTCATAAATGTTTTGCAAGGGGAGGGCAAAGGTCACTGCCCATCCTTAACAGTAGAGGAATTCCTTACTCACTCCTTTTGATTTTTCATCTTTTGTTAAGCTAACCACATCAACTCAGGAGTTCTTTTGCTACTATTACCTGGCACAGTATATGGTATCCTAAATCAGAGCAAAACCTTACAGATCTAGCGGAGTAAGATTACCTTTTATCAAGGACTACCTGAGCTGAAAAAGTATGAAAGCTGAAAAGGCTTTATAGTATGCCCATAGCCTGAATAACTGTAACAATGTGCATTGCTACGTAAATTCTCACAGGCTGTCATTAAGTACTTTTTGATGGTTGAAATTGAGGCTTACAAGATTAGAATAATTATTAAATATATTAGCACCAGCAAACAGAGCACACAACTTATGGAGATCTTCAATAACACAATCTTAGGTGTCCTCTACAAACCTGAAGAGAGGTTCAATGATTTTGTCCAGGTCATCAATAGAGACATCCAAGTCTCCAAATACACCCTGGCAGTATTGGACTTTTATAAGCATACAGGTAGAGAAAGACCTACTAACCACTATCCTCTGATGGGTAGCTATTTCTCACTTCACCTATGATGTCTTAGGTCAAATAATAAATACCGTTTTTGCCTGGTTACAGGAAGCTTGCGTCACAGGCAACAGCTCTTCAGTATGATATTTCACCATAAACTGCACCCTCTAAAAGGATGCTCACCTCTTGATTGATTTCAGTGTGTACTCCAGGTCAGTGTCAGCACATTTATTACAGGATTGGAGAAACACAGTGCTTAAGTTAGGTAAGAAGCAAAGCTTATTCTAAATGGGCTCTTTCCTAGAATATTTGCTCCAGGACACAAATCAACTATACTGTTTCTATGGCCCAGCCTAAGGGTAGGCTGGGCAATATATCCACATTTCGCGGTGCACGGTCATACTCATTTTTCAAGTCAAAACTTTTAGTTTTAAATTCATTAAATAACATTTTCCTGAGGCTCATGGATCACTACAAAATACAAGCCTGCTCTAAAAATCGCCCCCTCCCCTCGCCAAAAAAGCATGGACTTTTTTACTTATTTTTGTTTACACCAGCCACTGGTTATTTCAAGGAAACAGAACAGCTCTGAGAAGCACAAGGCAAGACTTAGCTTTCAGGGTGCTGCACTACTCCATTGTATTTACAGGACGAAAACCATAACTTTGTATGAAGCTGCACGACTGTTTGCACGGATAAGACAACACAGTAGCAACCAACCCATACTGCTACCAACATTAGAACTGCAAGAAGGCAGATGAAGGGATGTACTTCAAACCCGAGCCTGATCTGGGGTGCAATGGGCCGGGGGTACCGCTACCAGCCGCGGTCCGAGGGTGCCGGCGAGATTCAGGTCGGCAGCAGCAAAGGCCACGGAGAGGAAACTACGGGGCCCTATGGGGACAGTCCTTGGGCTTTCCAGCATCTCCTGAGGGGACCTCTAGGCTCCGAAACAAGCTGCGAGCCCGTCCCCCTTGTCCCATCTCTAACACGGCCCCTGCCATGGGGCCGGGCAGCGGGCCCCGTGAGGTGGGGATGGGAGAATTTCCCTCCTCAAGCACAGCTGCCCGAGGCAGGCCTCGCCGGAAGGACACTCCTGCAGCCGCACCCCGCCTCCCCGCTTACCAGGAAGCCCACCGCGTAAAGGCACCGCACGAAGCGGCCGGACGTTGCAGCCGCCGTGCTCCCCGAGGCTCCCCGGCCCCCATCCTCATCCTCCTCTTCCATCCGGCCGAATGCGGCCGCGGACCGGCGCTCCGTAGCGGCGGCGCTGGGCATGCGCAGTGCGGGCTGCGAGGCGAGTGAACATGGAGGTGGTGGGGGTAGGGGGAAGTGGTGATGTGGTTCTGTTAATGAACGTGCTCTTCGTATTTCCTCTTTTTCAGGCGAGGAGGAAGAATAAGAATCCTTGCCCCCTCCTCTCCTACCCTGCAGGACTTTGTCCTTTTTGGCTCTTCTTATGTGGAGGGTTTTGCAACCTGTGAGCGCAGTGCCTGGAGCTCAAAGGAAAGCAGGAAAAGCTAGATAGGGTGGAGGGCCTTTGGAATGGAAGAGTGGTAACTGCCCCGTTGCACCTTTCTGTTAGTTACTATACAAATACAACTTTTGGACCTGTGCATTGCCCAACCTGCCTTATCCATGCGGAAAGTGGCTGTGCCTCACCGCTGCCTCTTGGGCCTCTCATGGGAATCAGCCAGGTGCCATGTGTTTCTGATGGCAGCGTTCTCCTGCCTTGTTGGGTGGTTGGTAGTTGTTGTACTGAGCCGGGGAAGGAGGGCATCCCTCTATCCTTGGCACATGCACAGCTGTGCTGCACTTTGTTAAAGTCAGGGGTAGCTGGATTGTGCAGAGCTATTATATTACGATGTATTAGCATCCAAAGCAGTAAAATAACATTCTTAAATCTCTGAGATGCACAGGTGGAGTAATTGTGACATGCAAAATACTGTGGCCAGCTTTGGAGTCCTCACTACAGGAAAGATACGGACCTGTTGGAGAGTGTACAGAGAAAGGCTGAGAGAATTGGGGTTGTTGAGTCTGAAGAAGACTCAGGAGATCTTACTGTGGCCTTTCAGTTCTTAAAAGGGATCTTTAAGGAAGATGGGGTGTCGTGGTTTAACCCCAGCCAGACAGGTTGTTCACTCCCTCCCTCCCCTCTTGACCTCCCTCTACTCGCGGAGGGACGGAGAGGAGAATCGAAAAGAATGCAACTACCACGGGTTGAGATAAGAACAGTTTAGTAACTAAGGTATAACACAAATCACTGCTGCTACCACCAATAATAATAACGATAAATGAAATAACAAGGGAAGAGAATACAACACCTCATCACCAGCCAACCAATAACTCACGCCCCCAGCCCGACCAAGCACTGACCGATACCTCCTCCAACCCTGCAGTCCTAGCCCTTCCGTGTAGCTCTCAGTTACATCCTGGGCATGACGAGCTGTGGTATGGAATACTTCTTTGGTCAGTTTGGGTCAGGTGTCCCGTCCCTTCTTCCTCCCGGCTTCCCTCCTTCCTGGCAGAGCATGAGTCTCACAAAATCCTTGGCCAAGCCAAAACATCATTGTTATCAGCTCTGTTCCCAGCCCGAAAGTCAAAACACAGCACTGCACCAGCTACCAAGAAGGAGAAAAAGTGACTGCTACTGCTGAACCCAGGACAAGGGGAGAGACTTTGTAGCAGGGCCTGTTTCAACACAACAAGGGGTAATGGTTTTATAAAAGAGGAGAGATTCAGGCTGGACATGAGGAAAAAAGTTTTTTACAGTGAGGGTGGTAAAACTGGCACAGGTTGCCCAGAGAAGTGGTGGATGTGCTGTCCTTGGAGATTTTCAAGGCCAGGATGGATCTGAGCATCTGGGCAGCCTGATTTAGTTGAAGATATCCCTGCTCATTGTAGGGGTTTGGATTAGATGACCTTTGAAGGTCCCTTCCAATCCAAACCTTTCTGTGATTCTGCAATTTATGTTGGAGGTAGAAGGGATTTTTTCCTTATATATAGCTGCTAAGCTGGGCATCAGTGAAGGGACTGCAGTTTTAAATACTTTTTAAAAAATAAAAGGAAACAGGAGGTGCTTTAATTTGCTTTTAATTATCAGAAAAGCTTTTGAAAAATTATAATGAATCACATTTTAAAAGTTACCACCAGTTGATAAAGTTTGAGAATGATTAATCAATGACTGGCAATAGGGTAACTTCACTTTTGTCTTCATGTTTTCAGAAGAAATAAATATTACATGATCAAGGGTCTTCAACAGATTTAGATCACCAAAAAATAGAAGGGAGTGTGGTTTTCCTTATGGTTATGAAGAATTAAGCTCAAGAAAACCCAACCAACCAAAAAATGTAGAAAGCAAGATGTATTCCTCTATATGCAGCTTTTATAAGACACTAAGGCAAAGTTTAGCCTAGCATATGCAGAGGGAAAAGATGTTTTCAGAATCTCTACAATGATTTAGTTATTATCCCAGTGGCTGTGATATTTTATAGTTGGCTTAACCAATGCATCCTATTAATTTAGCTTTCTGAGGCCACTTTGAATAACAAACCCTCTCAGTGAGAGAAGGCATTATGGGAATTGACCGTATATTGTCTTCTCAGTATTGTGCTATTTTTACTCATGGTCATTTTGTCTGATAAAAGAAGTGGAAAGGGCCTGATGATTTATCAGAGGAAACTTAAGGAGGTGGATGATTAAAAGATACTGCAAGAGTTCAGGTACTCTCCTTGCGGTATAAGGCAGATTGAATTTTGTGCAAACACTGAGCCCAGGTGAAATTTTTGAGGTTCTGTGTAAATGTCAGTCTGTGCTATAAGTCTCAGAAACCAGCTCTGGCAATTCTGCATTCTTCTTAGATACTGAAGATTAAAATGATCTAATATAATGGGGACAAATTATTGTAGGCAGAGATAATGGATTCCCTGATAGTGAAACTTCCTTAGTTTAGCCTATTATTTCAAGCAGTCTCCATGCAGAATGGCTTGTAAAGCAGAATAAATGGCTTTTAAAGAGAATAGCCCACTTTTGATGCTCCAGTAACAATGTCAGGGCAAACCGTGTGTCCAAGAACAAAAATAATTTAGAAAACATACAGATATCACTTCCTTTAACAGATCTTTTCCTGCTTTTATACTGGCAAGCTTGATCAGATCATTAAAGAATTGTGTATATTGCATGTTTAGTTTTGTATAATATGTGAGAAAAGCATTAATATATAGTAACATGGCAAATATCTCTTGCATTTGAACTGAAGGGAAATGGTTCCTGCAGCCTTGGAGGTTCTCATGATCTGTCACTGCAATTACAAAATTTAAGATAAAGGCTCCCAAATAAATCTGAAGATGAAGTTCCCAAAGAACGTGATGGTATGACTGATAAGGGAAACAAGTAATGAATGAAATACAGAAGAGAACTTATCACAGTCTTAAGGAAAATAGAACCAGTCTTCATATCTTTGGGGGCAGAATTTCATAGTTGGTTGATTAAAGTACTATCAGTACAGTACAGTTACATAGCTTTAAGGTATTTGATTTATTATGGTTTTAAGGTGTTTGACTTGCTACTGGATGATTCTTAAAGACAGTAGATCAATACATACTGAGAAATAGCAAACAGCATGTGGCTTCAGAATTGTTTGGTATGTCTCCAGACTGTATTTGTGAATGGATAATCTTCCCTAATGAAGGGGTAGATGTCTGCATAGTCTTCTAATATCTGACCCTTTTTCCATGACCTGGAAAAAGAGATAGAATCAAAATTATTGATTTTTATAGACAATCCTAGCACCAGGAAAATTAGGCAGACTACTGACACAAGAAAATCTGAGCATTTAGCTTCCGTGATACGTGTAAGTATTCTGACTGGAAAAGCGCAGTTACAAACAAAGAATGATGCACGCTTGGGAAGTGTACCCCTCTGTTGTGGCAGTTGGTGATTATGAGATGAACCTGGTAGTCATAGTGAATAACCAGGAACGAGAAGTTTTGTTGCTATTCTGTGGCCCAAAAAACAATTTTGGGCCACATCCATCCTTTGATAAGAAATAGAAGTAGCAGAAGTAAGCTAGGAAGACTTTTATTACATTTGCATCAGTTATTTGGTCTAAGTGTTAATGCAACATGGTATCT